TCCCGTCGAGCTGGATGCCTGCTACATGACCTGGGCGGCTCAACGCGTCTGCTTTGTTGTGTAGCCCGGGTTTGTAGATGATGTCGTAGTGGAAGTGGGTCTCCAAGAAATCCACCCACCGTACATGTCGTCGTGAGAGCGTAGGCTGCGACTTCAGGTATTTGAGGCTGCAGTGGTCAGTATAGACTGTGGTCTTGGCTCCCTCGAGGTAACACCTCCACGCCTTGAAGGCTACGACTATAGCTAGGGCTTCCTTGTCGTGGATGGGGTAGTTTAGTTCTGCTCCGTGCAGTTTCTTACTGAGGTAGGCGATAGGCTGTAAACCGTTCCCGTGATCCTGCATCAGTACTGCTTCGACTGCCTGGTCACTAGCGTCTGCTTCAACTACGTAGTCCTTCTCGGGGTCTGGTAGGATGAGTACTGGGGCTGTGGTCAGTGCTGTCTGTAGCTGTTCCATGGCTTGCTGATGCGGAGTATCCCATTTGAAGGGCGTATCCTTTTTCAGTAGGTCGGTCAGTGGCGCTGCTATCTTAGCATACTGCGGCACGAACCTGTTGTAGTAGTTGGCGAAGCCTAGGAACTGCTGCAACTCCTTCACGTTCTCCGGTACTTTCCACTTCTTGACGGCTTCGATCTTCCGCGGGTCCACATGTACGCCCTCGGCACTCACCATGTGCCCGAGAAACTGCACCTTCTTCAGGGCGAAGTCGCTCTTCGACAGCTTCACGTAGAACTTGTTTTTCCGCAGGATCTCGAACACCTTCCGCAGATGCTCCACGTGCTCCTTCATGTTCTTGGAGTAGATGAGGATATCGTCCAGGTACACCACTACGCACTCGTCCAGCAGGGGCCGTAGAATATGGTTCATTTCCGCCTGGAACGTTGCTGGTGCGTTGCAGAGTCCGAACGGCATCACCAAGTATTCGTAGGAGCCGTATCGAGTACGGAACACCGTCTTGTGGATCGAGTTGTCCGCCATCTTGATCTGCCAGTAACCCGACCGTAGGTCCAGCTTCGAGAAGACTGTTGCACCACGCAGTTGGTCCAGTAAGTCGTCGATGCGCGGTATGGGGTATTTGTTTTTAACTGTCTGTTTGTTCGGTGCGCGGTAGTCGATGCACATCCGTAAGCTGCCGTCTGGTTTTGGAGTGAAGAGAACTGGTGCACCGTAGGGAGAGGTGGATGGGCGGATCAGTTGTCTGTCTAGTAGATACTCTATCTGTTTCTTCATGTTTGTCAGTTCGGTCGGACTCAGTCGGTATGGTGCACGTGAGACGGGTTTCGCACCTGGTTCCTCCACGATCTCGTGCTCGTGGGTGCGTGCTGGAGGTACGCCTGCAGGTAGGTCGTCGGGCATTATATCCTTGTATTGCTCCAAGACCTCCTTTACTGCTGCAGGGAGCTCGGAACTCGGCTTCTCCTCCTCTTCTGCTGCCATGACCAGTGCTAGGTAACCCGTGTTACTCTCGTTCACCGTCTGTTCGAACCGTGCCAGTGTCGTTTCAGGTACGTCCCCTGTATCCGTCCAGCTTCGCAGTGCTATCCGCTTCCCGTTGTTGTAGATGCATACCTTGCTGTTGACCCAATCGATCTCGGGGTTGAACCGCTTCAAAAAATCTCGCCCCAAGATAAAATCTAACCCTTTGATGTTGGTGACTGGTAGCTTCGGCTTCCACCTCAACGCACCTATATGCAGCTGCAGTGATGCTTTGCCGTGGATAGGAAGCTTCGTACCGTCCACCATGGTTGCTGAAAACTGGGTCTCTTCCGCCTTCTCTCCAATTTTCTCCAATGCTCCGCGGTCACACACCGAGTGAGATGCACCGCTGTCCACCAGTGCCTGGAGGCGTCGCCCATTGCATAACACCTCGAGGAGTAGTGGTGTCTGCTGCGCTGAGTAGCCAAAGAGGGTCTCATTAATAGGATCATAGGGTACATCAAACTTAATACCTTCCCTATTTCCTATACCCGACTCAGCACTTTCCAACTTCACCTGGGGGGTAGGAGGATTTTTCCGAGGCTTGTATAATTTTTCTTGAGCCTGGATGTCTCCTCTCAGCCTTGGCAGCTGTGTAGGCTTCACCTGTGGGCAACGGGGAGCCTTAACACTGTGCTGCGGGGAGAGAATATTAACTCCACGGAACGCACGACCCTTTTCTACGCTCCGTAGTCTGGAGTCTGGACCATGGGGTTTTGTACGCTCGGCTGGTCTGATAGACGAGCCGTCAGCAGGATCGTTAAGTTTCCCGTCTCCATCGGCCTTGACGTCGCCGTCTGCTTTGACGTCTCTGTCTGAGTCCGCGCCCCTGCTACCGGGCAGCTGCGCTTCCGCGTCACAAGGCGTTTCAGACGCTATTTGGGCCGGCCGTGGGTTGTTGGGTTCACAGTCTGTGGTTTCCCAACAGATACTGGAGCTTCTGCAAGAGCAGCAGCAACGGCAGCAGCAACAGCAGCAACAGCTATAGGAACAGCAGCAACAGCAGCTGCAGCTACTACAGCAGCAGCATCAACAGCAGCAGCAGCAGCAGTGGTCACAGCAGCAACAGCTCGTTGCTGCCGCCCCTCTTTTGCAGCTTCAAGAGCAGCTACGGCAGCAACTACACTTACAGTCCAGCGAGCTACAGCAAGAAGAGCTGCAGCAGCAGCAGCAGCAACGTGGGCCTCTGCAACAGCAAATAAGGTATCCGTCTCCCCTTGTACAGGAGCAACAGCAGCAGCAGCAGCAATTACGGAATCCTTCCCCACGTGTACAGGAACAGCTGCAGCAGCAACAGCAGCTATTACGGTATCTTTCTCCACGTGTACAGGAACAGCAGCAGCAGCTACAGCAACAAGAGTTGCAGCAGCAGCAGCGACAACAGCAACAGGAGAATCAGCAGCCACAGCAATACCAGCAGTGGTCACAGCAGCAGCAGGGCTATCAGGAGCAGCAGCAGCGCCTTCAGCTGGCCCAATGGCAAATGACCCAAGTGGAGCTGCAAACGCAGCTGCAAGCATTGGAGCAACTAGCTGCCTCGGGCCAAACCTCCGCCGCAGCCTCGGCCCAAGCCGCAGCCTTGGTCCAAGCTGCAAGGCGTGAATCTCAAATCAAAGCTGCTCAGATTGAATATCAGCTGCAGAATTCTGCAGGTTCAGGTCAGATAGGCAATTCTTTTGCTGTAGCATCAGCCCAAGCCCAAGCCTCCCCGGTAAGGCTTCGGGAATCGCTGCTCAAGGCGCAGCAGGATAGGTTCGGAAAGTTTGAGAGCCCCTCGCCTCCGAACCTTCCACTTCCGAACCTCCGTCCCAGCTCTGGTCCAAACACCAGGGCATGGTTCGCGCATCCGCAGGCTCGGACTGAGCTTGAGGGGCCTATTTATGGGCCACCAGGGGGGTCTGTGGGTCGTGACACGTGGCAGCAGTACAGTGGTCCAGGTGGCTCCACGTCAGCATCACCAACAGCAGCTGCGGCTGCCATTGCTGCTGCTAGAGCAGCAAGCGCGCGTAAATCCCGAGGGTACGGGCAAGCAGGAAGGAGCCCTGGATCAGCTTATAACGGATCCTCTAGAGGTTCTCCTAAAAAGGTTGGCAGGGGGGGAAAAGGGTTTCCCTACAACAGCAGCGGCAGCAGCAGTGGACCTGTGGTTTCGTATCCGCCTTTCTCTCCTAGAGCTGTTTTAGATTCGTCGCGCGCTATAGCACATAACGAGTCTGCTCTTAGTGATGCGTCAAGTGAGGGCAGCAGTGGGGTGGACGCTCAAGGGGTCCATTTGCTGGAGCTGACGTGTGGGTGGCAGGATTTGTCTCATATTCCGAATGTACAGGTAACAGGGAGTGTCAGCCGCCCAGCTGTATGCACGGTGAAGGAGAAGGATGAAGAGGAGGCGCTGCCATCACAGGAAGAGTTTGATGCAGCCTTGTGCTGACGCCGGTGTCTGTTGTGTTGCGCGCACACTCAGGCACTGTAATTCATTCAAAGAGGCGGTGGGAGGATAAGAAGGATGGTGAAGAGGCGCTGCTATCACAGGAAGACCTTGATGCAGCCATGTGTTGAAGCAAGGTTTTTTGGGAGTGCACATGCACTGGTCCTCAGGAAAACCTTCATTGACAACCACTAGGTGAATGGCTCATTATGCTTTCTTTATTTCTTTTTATACAGTTATTCCTTCTTGGTTCTTGTTCATCATGGGTTGCTAATGTTCCGAGGTTCCAATTGGTTTTTCTCATTGGGGTCAGGACAGATCCGCTTATTGATTTTGTGCTGGTGAGGTGCAGTATGATTGCACCGTATGTACCATGGAAAGATCTATGATATATTGGTTTGCACTCCAACGCGTACCACACTGTGCCCCGGCCCCCGGGCCTCAACCACTCTTCCTGTAAAATAACATTTCATAAAGTCGCGGTGTTCCCTCTCCATATACCCATCCAAATGCAAACCAGTCTGAATATAAAACCCATACATATCTTGAACACCTTTAGCTTCAACTGTGCCGCACTCAAGCATCTTGAGTTGGGTGAAATCCTCAGGCAGAGTAGCCAGCTGCTTGCAACCATTTAGGCTAAACTTCTTAAAGTGGTGTGGTATATCAGCTCTGTATATCTATAGCCCGTGTATCTCCAGCCACCTCAGCCGCCGCAAGGCAGAACCAAACCCTTCCGTACCATACCATACCATACCATACCATACCATACCATACCACCCTACACCATACCATACTACACCACACCACACATACTATACCCTGCATCCATATGCCCACACACGCCTACCTTCAGCAATGCAGGTAGCCCTCCTGCAATGAGGAAGTGGAAGCAGGGCGGCAGGCCATATGAGAGGAGATACAGCGGCATGGCATGCCCACATCTACGTGATTGAAGAATTGTTTTGAGACGTCTCAAAACAATTCTTCAATCACGAGGCCATATGAGAGGAGATACAGCAGCACGGCATGGCCACATCTGCCCATACCATGCACAACCCCCCTTCCGCCGCCCCACATACACACACGCATGCACTCTCACATGCCCACCTTGAGTAGGGCCGGTAGGCCCCCTGCAATGAGGAAGTGGAAGCAGGGCGGCAGGCCGTATCTCCTGAGCACACCACACCACACCACACCACACCATACCATACTATACTCCGCATGCCCACACACACCTACCTTCAGCAATGCCGGCAGTCCCCCTGCAATGAGGAAGTGGAAGCAGGGTGGAAGGCCGTATGAGAGGAGATACAGCGGCATGCCCACATCTGCCCATACCATGCACAACCCCCCTTCCGCCGCCCCACATACACACATGCATGCACTCTCACATGCGCACCTTGAGAAGGGCCGGTAGGCCCCCTGCAATGAGGAAGTGGAAGCAGGGCGGCAGGCCGTATCTCCTGAGCACACCACACCACACCACACCACACCATACCATACTATACTCCGCATGCCCACACACACCTACCTTCAGCAATGCCGGCAGCCCCCCTGCAATGAGGAAGTGGAAGCAGGGTGGAAGGCCGTATGAGAGGAGATACAGCGGCATGCCCACATCTGCCCATACCATGCACAACCCCCCTTCCGCCGCCCCACATACACACATGCATGCACTCTCACATGCGCACCTTGAGAAGGGCCAGTAGGCCCCCTGCAATGAGGAAGTGGAAGCAGGGCGGCAGGCTGTATCTCCTGAGCACAGCATACCATACCATACCACACCACACCACACCACACCACACCACACCACACCACACCACACCACACCACACCACACCACACCACACCACACCACACATACCATACCCTGCATCCATATGCCGATACACACCTACCTTCAGCAATGCAGGCAGCCCCCCTGCAATGAGGAAGTGGAAGCACGGCGGCAGGCCGTATCTCTTGAGCACAGCGTTGAAACAGAGAACCACCTGCAGGAGAATATTCAGGTGGTTGGTCAGGTGGTTGTCCAATCCAATGCATTGAGCACTACCAAACCATTCATGATGTGAGAGTGTTCGAGGTTATTCAAATTTGAATAAACAGATCATGTTTTGCCTTGAAGCGGTTCGATGACGGTATTCTATTAATTTTTTAGAAGGACTCATGATTGTAAGTTGCAACTCTCACACTGCGTTACATACACAACGACAAGGCTCAAAGGTCCAACAAAAACAAATGGAGGACAGAACACGATTGCCAGAGGGGAAAGGGAAACTAAAAGGGGAAGGGGAAGGAGAAGGTGTGGGGGGGGGGAGGAAAGCGGACAGGTGAACAAGGAAACACCTGAAAGGCTATTCTGCCGCTGGTGCCAGCACCTGACACCACCACTGCACTATCCTGAGGGCAGGGGTGGTGGTAGTGGGGAGTATAAATGCGGGCAGGGAGAAGGGGAGAAGGCAGTGGGGAGCATAAGTGGGAGGGGAAGATGTGAGTGAGAGGGGGGCATACGAGCGGGGAGAAGGGGAGAAGGCAGTGGGGAGCAGGATTTGGAGGGGAGAGGTGGGTGAGTGGGGGCATGTACTACTGACACCACCACTGCACTATCCTAAGAGATGAGGCAGGGGTGGTGGGGTGGATGATGCGAGCGGAGAGCTGGGGAGAAGGCAGTGGGGAGCAGGATTTGGAGGGAAGAGGTGGGTGAACAGGGGGCATGCGAGTGGTGCCAGCACCTGACACCACCACTGCGCTATCCTGAGTTACAGAGTGGTGGGGCACGGTTGGGAGGGGAAGAGGTGGGTGAGAGGGGGCATACGAGTGGTATCAGCACCTGACACCACCACTGCACTATCCTGAGGGATGAGGCGGTGGGACCATGAAAGGAGGAAGGAAGGAGAGAGGGGGAAAAGGCAAGGGAACGGGAAACAGCAGATTTTTTAGGCGCCTCAAAAATCGCCTCAAAGAGGAATGAGGCGGTGGGACCATGAAAGGGAGGAAGAAAGGAGAGAGAAAGGCAAGAGAACAGGAAACAGCAGCATGCAATGGAGAAGAGAAAGAGAACGAGAACGAGAACGAGACCGAGGAAGAGCAAGATGAGGGGTGAAGGGCAGGGGAGGGCAGGGGTGGGCTGAGGAGGCAAATAGGAAAAAGGAGGAGATAAAGAAAAAGAGAAAGAGAAAGAGGAGGAGGGAAAGGAGGGACGGGGGAGGACGGACAGCTTGCCTTGGAGAAAGAGACGACTTCAGCCGCCACTGCTGTGAGCTGATCCACCACTCGAATGGTCTGATGTAGACAAGGGGGGAGTAAGGGCGGACAGGGAGGACGGGCGGACAGGGAGGACGGGCGGACAGGGGGGACGGGCGGTTAGGGGTGAGGGGCGGACAGGGAGGAGGGGTGGACAGGGGGGAGAGGTGGACAGGTAGGTGGGGAGGGGGATGGACAGGGGAGAAGGGAGGGGGGCGGACAGGGGGGAGTGGGGGAGAGCGAACAGGGGGAAGGGGAGGGAGGCAGAAAGGGCGAAAAAGACTCAAAGGGTGTTAACAGAGTGTTTTGAGACGTCTCAAAACACTCCTTTTTTCACGAGAGCGAATAGGGGGAAGGGGAGGGAGGCGGAAAGGGCGAAAAAGACTCAAAGGGTGCTAACAGAGCGTTGAGGAACTTCCCAGTATGTACAAGCTGGACGCAGCACACCAGAACTATTTTAGAATTCTCAAAAACTTCCCAGTATGTACAAGTACAAGCTGGATGCAGCACACCAGAACCCACGAACAGCTCAAAGCACCCTCACTCTCTGCCCCATACTCACCCCTCTGCACTCCTCCCCCCTCTGCACTCCCCCCAGACACTCTCGCCTCTGCGCTCATTCCTCTGCAACCCCCCCGATCCCCCCCCCCCCCTCCCCCCCCTCCTCCCGCTCCCCCCCTCTGCGCTCCCCCCTCTGCGCTCCCCCCTCTGCAATCTCCCCTCTGCAATCCCCACCGTTCGTATATCGGCCTACTGGGAGGCAGACTTGGGACGGGAAAGCAAACCAGGCAAACACTGTGCTCTCTCAGTGTGCTTTGAAGGAAGCTGCCGGTTTTCGTGAATGTTACAAGATATTTCGCAAGCGAGACCGTTAAAACCAGAGTCTCACGTAGATCAATTGTTTTGCAGTTGATGACTTGACCTTGGTTAGGATTGGATGGCGAGGTGTAAAGAATGACGAGGGGTGTGGCGAGGGGTGCGAAGGAAACACAAATCGCAGTTTGTGTCCGAACCAGCCAGGCACGGAAATTGGTTCGGTGCCAAAGCTAGAACACCAGCAATTTGTGCGAGCATCCCGAAAGTCTCATGTACCAGGGAAAACGTCAGGTGTCGCACAGTCAATTGCCAGACCAATCCCTAGACTTCGCCACCTCAAACAGGGTGACTCAGCATCAATTGTTTTGCAGTTGATGACAATTTTCCTTACGTGAGACCCTGGTTTTAAACGCTCACCTCTTCGTCCATCAGGCCGGGGTAACCCGCATAGCCGGCGAAAAGCTGCGCGTCGCACGCGCGGAAAACTCGCACGATTTCGTCCGGCGACGCGACGTCTATCGCCGAGGACATCTCATTCGGTCGCTCTGTGAGAGGCAGCTCGTGCGACCGCACTTGCGACATCGTATGCGACTGCGAATGCGAATGCGAATGCGAATGCGACTGTCAATGTGGAAACCGTGCGACGCTAGCAGGGACGATTCTATTTCGAGTTTACTCCGGCTACACCTCGTGTCTACGTAATACTTCGTTATAAGGCGCCCCAACACTGCTTCCTCATCTTGTCAGTTTGCGTCTATACGCAAGCATCTGTAACACTCAACTCAAGTGACACAGCGCCTCAAAGGCTGTGCACTGCACAAGTCTGCTGTTTTGTTCCCATTCTTTACCACCCACCCACTCTTTCCAACTGACTTTATGTTATGAATGACCAAGGCGTGGTACATTCGAACAAAACGACGAAATTCGTAACCAATTTTTGCTGTTCCATTCTTGACGAAACTTGAGGTTCTGCAAAAACCTCTGGCGAAAAACCATACGAAACGTTCGAAGCTGGATACTTTTTCAAACTTGATCACTTTCACAATTTAGAATTCGAGGAACCACGCCTTGACGTTCATTTGGTCGCGTGTTCGGTTCCACAAGCCATCTTCTGTAGAACTTGAGAATGAGCAGAGCAGAAGCGAGGATACATAGGTCACTCCGTTGAAGATTTGCAAGGATAAGCTCATAGCTTATTGTGCCTTGCCAAACTCTCGTAGAGAGAGCGTTTTTCCCACAGACAGACATTATTCGCAATCACCAGATCCACAGAGAGCTTATACTCCAAATGCCATGCCTCCCTCATACATCAACAACCTCTCAGATGACCTCCTCGTTAAGATCTTCTGGCATTCCCAGAACCACGTCCCCTCTCGCCGCCAACTCAAAAGCACTATCCGTTCATTGTATTCCGTCTTGCCACTACCGAGGTACACCTCCGAAAACCCGTATGGCGAACATCTCAGCAGCTCAGGCGAAAGCATTCCGGAATCTTCCTCCTTGCAGCGGAACGTCGAGAATACTACTAGTTATACTCCATTGTCAGCTCCTACCGTGCTTACAGATCCCGCATATAATCTCCTCATCGCTTCCATCTGCACGCGCTGGCGTCGCCTGGCTCGCCGTGAGGTCTCAATGCTCGTCGTGAAGAAAAACGTCGTCGTTTCGATTCAAGATCTCACAGCTGCCGTTAAATGCTTCCCGAACCTCTCCCATCTGCATCTCAACGACAATAGCGTAGAGACTATCAACGACGCGTTTTTCGACTTCCTCGCTTCGTCATGCCCTAAATTGGTGTCGCTGCACGTGGGGAGAGAAATTACGTCGAAATTGGAGTGGTCCTGGCAGAAGGAGCATCCGGTGACCGAAACCGGCTTGGACCGATTCATTCGTCGCTGCACTCAACTGCAGCACCTCACGCTCTACTGCTTGCATTACTACGGGAAGCTGCCGGATTCTCTCTCACTCCTCACCAACCTTCACACCCTTGCTCTCACCGAAGGCTCGCCTCTCCACGCTCCGGGATTTACGAAATTGTCGTCTCTCACTGCTCTCTCCGTCGGTATTCCCGATAAGGAAGATCTGAATCTCGCGAATCTCTCTCATCTCCCAGCTGTCACCACCCTCGTTCTATTCGACCAGACATGTCTAGATTTAGAACGCGGTGGCGCATCCTACCCCTTTTCATTCGCTCAAATGCCGTCGCTGAAATCCCTGGAGTTCCACGCGTGTAGTCCGCGGTTCGAGCTGATGTTTCCGTCAGGAATGACGTTTAGCCGTCTCGAGCGACTGCGTATCAGTGACTGCGATCAGCTTGAGCAACTTCCTGACGACGTCGGCGAGCTACTGCCCAGGCTTCGCGATCTGAGCTTGTGCGGATGCATATATTTTACCGAGCTGCCCGAACAGTTTACTTCCCTAATCTGCCTGGAGCAGCTGACGATTTCAACGTGCGAGGTGGTCAGCCTGTGCAAAGATTTCGGAAATCTGCCGGCTTTGAAAACGCTGACGTTGAACTCCGTGCCTCTCTGGAATCTTCCGGATTCGTTCAACCAGCTGACATCCCTTGAAACCCTTTGCCTGTCCTACTGCCACGGGCTTTTCGATCTGCCTGAAGATTTCGGTTTTCTCACCGCACTCAAATCCTTGAGTATCCTCAACACGTCGTCCCCGATGCTTCCAGAAGACATAGGCTCACTCATCAATCTCCAAACCTTCAGCCTAACAGAGCATGAGTCGCAGCAGCTGCTTCCATCCTCCTTCACGCAGCTGTCTTCCCTCACAAGTCTCCATCTCACTGAGTGTATGGTACTAGCTGAACTTCCAAAGGACGTGGGGAAGCTGAGAAATCTGCGGGAATTGACCATCCAGGCCTGTCCTAACATTAAGAAGCTTCCAGAATCTGTCACTGACCTTGTCAACTTAGAGGTTCTGAAAGTTGTCGACTGCAGCAGCCTTACTTCAATCCCCACCACCTTGGCCCACCTTACAAGGCTCAAAACCTTGGCATTTGCCAAGCTACCCCAGTTAGCACAATTATTTACATCCTTCCCCTGTGTCCTCGAGTTTCTTTCGCTAGGAAGCTTCAAGCGGCCCGTCCCTTCGCTGGAAATTTCAGAACTGCCAAAGCTGAGGGAATTGGTCCTAAATGGTGTGGGGCTTACGGGTGGACTTGCCTCTGGTCTGACTCTGCCGTCTCTGGACCTCTTACAGCTGGTGTTGATCGGAGAGGCAGAGGGATTCCCGTTGCCTCTGGAACTCCTTGCTAACCTCCGCAGCTTGATCATCTGCAATGCTGCTTGCATGAAGAAGCTTCCGGAAGGATTTGGTTCGGCCTTGCGGCGGCTGAGGCGGCTGGAGATTCAGCGGGCTGAGGAGTTAACAGAGCTACCAGAGAGTTTCACCGAGCTTCAGTCCCTGACATCCGTTGAAATGCATGCACCCAAGCTGTCCTCTCTTCCAGAGGGCATCGGGGCGATATCCCGATTTCGTCAGCTGAATTTGGCCAAGTGCTCATCACTTACCCAGCTCCCTGCTTCTCTCACCGAGCTCTCGTGTCTTCATGAGCTGAACCTCAGCTGCACCCCCATACGCTCCCTGCCATGCCACTTCGGACAGCTGAGCCGGCTTAAGAAACTAAACCTGGATGGATGCAAGGAGTTGGCTGCTCTGTCAGAGGATTTCACCCAGCTCAAGATGCTGCACAGCTTGAGTGTTAAAGGGCGTGGCGAGATTGCGTCTGAGGATGTGAGAGATATGTATGGGTTGCAGGTTCATACTGATTTTGATCATGATCCTCTTTCAGATTTGCCTTTTTGAAATGTCAAACAATATGAGATGATGCGTGATGCATCCAATCCAACGTCTATGTTTTCGATTCCTGCTTTATTGTATGGAGAATATTAACTCCCGAAGTAGTCGTTACCGGTATGGTGAGCTATAGGTGCAATGCAACCCAAGGGTTGTTCATGGTAAATTAGCTTATTGCTTAGTGATGGAATGCAGCATTGTTGTAGAGAATTTGTTATATCAGCCTGGATGTATATTCTACTGACTTTGTGAAGCAGATGCTCTGTTTCATCCCCATCCACTGACTCCCACTCACTCCCCTCCTCACTGTGATCTTCGTCCCCCTTCTCATACCCCCCCTCAGATGTATCCTCTCTCTTCTCCTCAGCTACAGCCAATTCCTCTTCCACTCCTGATTCCCTCCCCACCAGCACCTCCGAATCACTGCTCCCTTCCTCCATCTCTTCCACCTCTTCCTCCTCCTCCCCTTCCTCCTCCCCTTCCACCCCTTGCTCTTCCGCTCCGCCCTCTTCTTGCTCACCACCCCCCTCTTCTCCCTCCTCCTCCTCCTCCTCCTCCTCCTCCTCCTCCTCCTCCTCCTCCTCCTCCTCCTCCTCCTCCCTTTCCTCCCCCAACTCCTCCTCCTCACTCTCTTCGCCTTCATCCTCTTCCTCCCGCTCCTTCCCCTCCTCCATCCCATCCTCATCATCATACACCATTAAGAGCCGGTCGTGAGGAGCCACACCGACACTTAGCAAAGCGAGGGACAGCAGCCCCTGCTTGGTTCGTGTGTGGAGGGCGGTGAGGAGCGGGAGAGGGAACAGCTGTGGCTGTAGCACGTGTGACTCTAACAGGAGAACAGTGTCGTTGGCACTGGAGGCAGCAGAAGAGGGGGAAAGAGAGGGGAATAAGACAAAAGAGGAAATACGAGTAAGTGGTGAGGTGGAAGGAACTACTGTGGCTGTAGCACGTGTGACTCTAACAGGAGAACAGTGTCGTTGGCACTGGAGGCAGCACAGGAGGGGGAACGAGTAGGGAATAAGGCACGGGATGAGAGGGGGAGAAGAAAGGGGAATACGACAAGGGAGGAAAGACGAGTGAGCGGTGAGGAGAGGGAGAGGGAACAGCTGTGGCTGTAGCACGTGTGACTCTAACAAAAGGACTGTGTCATTGGCACTGGAAGCAGCACAAGAAGGGGAAAGAGTAGGGAATAAGGCACGGGATGAAAGGCGAGTGAATAATTACTGAGGAGAGGTGTGCTGATGGACGTAAGTGGTTTTTGAGAATTCTCAAAAATCACTCGCAAGGAGAGGTGTGCTGATGGACGTAAGTGGCTCTGGCGTGGATTGGCAAGACCTGCAGTGTGGTGTGGCTTACTGGGCCTAGTGCACCGTGCGGTGGGGAGAACCTCGTACAGAAATTGGCCTGCACTGACTGGTTTTAGAAGCTCTGGTGTGGCTTGGCGAGAGGACGAGTGGGAGCATGCGGACGGGGTATGTGCTACAGAGCATACTAGGCATAGCAGCCGGCTTGCTGGGGCCTTGCGTAGTGAGTCTGTTTTTGACTCAGACTCAAAAATAGACGCGCATACTGGGCATAGCAGCCGGCTTGATGGGCCTTGGTCACCGTGTGGTGGGGAGGACGTGGTGCAGAAAGTGGTCTGTGCTGATTGCCCTCAACAGCTCTAGTGTGGCCTGGCGAGAGGGCGAGTCAGTCTGGGAGGACCAGTAGGTACGTGCTACTAAGAGCATATGCAGCAAGCAAAGCAGGCGGCTTATTAATAGGACTGGCTCACCGGGTGGTGGGGGGGACGTCGTGCAGAAAGTGGTCTGTGCTGATTGCCCTCAGAGCCTCTGGCGTGGATTGGCGAGAGCGTGAGTGGGTTGCAGTAGCAGTAGCAGCAGCAGCAGCAGCAGCCCTGAAGGGAAAGAACCAAGAGCTTGTGCTGCTGCCCCTGCTAGTGCTCGCTTCGCTGCTGCTCCTCTTCCCTGCTGATACATCTGCTACTCGCGTCCTGCTGCTGCTGCTGCTGCTGCTGCTGCTGATTTTCTGGTGTTGGCTTTCCCTAGCCCTTGCCTTGCTTCTCCTGCTGCTGCTTCTCCTGACGTTGCTCCTGCTTTTGCTGCTGCTGTTGCTCCTGCTTTTGCTGCTGCTGTTGCTACTGCTACCAGGAGCAGATGAGCCCAGGGGATCGACTGTGTGCTGGTTCAGCGGACAAATCAGGCGGTGCCACGTGGAAGTGAGGAAGCATTGGAAGGAGCCTGGGCGTGCCCCAAAGGTGGGAACTTGTTCTGAGGCGTCTGAGGGAGTGGGAGAGAGAAGGATAGGGGAAGGGAGGAGGATAGGGAGGGGAGGCGAGGAAGCCTTGGAAGGAGCCTAGCCTGGGCTTGCCCCAAAGGTGAGGACCCGCCCTGAAGAGTCTGAGGGGGAAAGAGGGGATGAGTGGAGGAAGAGAGGAGGAGCGAGGGGGATAAGGAGTGGAGACGAGGAAGCCTTGGAAGGAGCCTGCGCACGCTCCAAATGTTGGCACCTGCTCTGAGGCGTCCGAGGGGGAGGAGAGCGGGAGGGAGGGAGCGAGATAGGGAGATGAGAGGAGAGAAAGGAGGCGGGAGGAACAAAGAAGCCTTGGAAGGAGCCTGGGCGTGCCTCAAAGGTGGGCACCTGCTCTGATGCGTCTGAGGGGGAGGGAGGGAGCGAGACAGGAAGGAGTTCACTTTTGAGAGTTCTCAAAAGTGATTTCCATATGGCCGCGCTCCAAAGTTGGGCACCACCTGCTCTGCTCCGAGGCGTTTGTGTGGGAGAGAGAAAAGAAGGGTGCATGAAGGAAGATGGGAAGATGCAAGGAAGATGGGAAGATGCAAGGAAGATGGGGAGATGCAAGGAAATGTTTTGCCTTGGAAGGAGCCGGGCCGCGCTCCAAAGTTGGGCACCACCTGCTCCGAGGCGTCTGTGTGGGAGAGAGAAGGAGAGGTAGAGTGAGATGGCGAGATGAGGAATGCTCGAGCTTTGATGGCATGATTTCTCAGCGAGCTTTTCACAAGACTGATTGGCTTGGCACTTACGCTTGTGTGGGAGAGGGAAGAGAAGGATAGGCAGAGTGAGATGGCGAGATGAGGAATGCTTGGGTTTAAGGCACACGACACACACGACACACACGACACACACGACACACATTGCTCACCGCACTCTAGAATGCACGCTTCTCTTTCTCTCCCACACACCCCGCTTGTCGCTAAAAGGCACGCTTCGAGGTCCCTCTCTCTCACTCACCGATAAGCCCCACCAGGCCGAGAGAATCGTCCCCAATGTACATGACCCGACCGCCAGAGCTGATGGAGCGATGGAAGAGACTTGTGAGGGCCTGATGTGGGGGGGAGGTGGGGGGAATGGGTGGGGGGAATGGGTGGGGGGAATGGGTGAAGAAAAAGGGGGTACCAGCCCCACTCGGCCCACCAGGCCAAGCGAAACGTCTCCAATATACATGACCCGACCGCCAGAGCTGATGGCGCGATGGAAGAGACGGGTGAGGGCCTGTTTGGGAGGGAGACGGAGGGGGATATTTGATGGTGGGTGGGGAGGTGGAGATTGTTGCTGCATGGGAGTGAGAGACTGGTAGCCTCCCCATTGCAATGTACATGACCCGGCCGCCAGTGCTGATGGTGCGATGGAAGAGACGGGTGAGGGCCTGGTTGGGAGGGAGACGGATGGGGGGTATTTGATGGTGGGTGGGGAGGTGGAGATTGTTGCTGCACTGCATGGGAGTGAGAGACTGGTAGCCTCCCCATTGCAATGTACATGACCCGGCCGCCAGTGCTGATGGTGCGATGGAAGAGACGGGTGAGGGCCTGGTTGGGAGGGAGACGGATGGGGGGTATTTGATGGTGGGTGGGGAGGTGGAGATTGTTGCTGCACTGCATGGGAGTGAGAGACTGGTAGCCTCCCCATTGCAATGTACATGACCCGGCCGCCAGTGCTGATGGTGCGATGGAAGAGACGGGTGAGGGCCTGGTTGGGAGGGAGACGGATGGGGGGTATTTGATGGTGGGTGGGGAGGTGGAGATTGTTGCTGCACTGCATGGGAGTGAGAGACTGGTAGCCTCCCCATTGCAATGTACATGACCCGGCCGCCAGTGCTGATGGTGCGATGGAAGAGACAGGTGAGAGCTGCCATGGGGAAGAAGGAGGTGGGGATGGGCGGGGGAGGTGGAGAGTGATGAGAAAGAATAAGGGTGGTTACCACCCTGTACCCAGGTTATTCATGTAAGCTCCCCCCTTCTGCCCCATCGTAAGGTGCCATCACGTCGCTGTATTAAACTGCCAGGGCAGGCAGAATCAGTTATTGGAAATTACCCACTGTAATGCTGGGTAGTTTGCTCCTATACACACCCCGCACAGCCCTCGAAGCCATATCATGAGCCACCATCAGATCCCAGCACCGAGCCTTAGAGGCAGCTTCATTTTCGAAAGAGGTTTGAAATATCAGTCTAAAGAGATGATTGACTCAACACAATTCCGGGTAATTGCTCCCCTCATTGCCCCCTCGTAAGCCGCCATGACATCGCCGTACCGAGCCGCCCGGGCAGAAGTATTTTTCAGGAATAACCCACTGTAATGCGGGGTAGTTCCCCTAATAAACACCCCTCACAGCCCTTCACAAGCCATTATTGAATCCCGGTACCAAGCCTTTGAGGTATCTCCATTCTCTGGCAAGTTTGGTAACTGTCTAGGGTTGTTGATTACCCACCACAATTCCGGGTAATTGCTGGTAAACTCCCCTCATCGCCCCCTCGTAGGCCGCCATGACATCGCCGTACCGAGCCGCTGGTGCAGCCTCGGTTCGGCCCCAGCCTACCCGTGCCGCCCGCCGAACCGATGTTTTGTCATCGGGAGTGAGCTCGGGGGGAGGGTTGATGAGTAGGAGGGGCACTCCCGCATCTGATGGGGTGGGGAGGGGGGAATGGATTGAGGTGTAGGATAATTGCAACAAGTTTTTACACTACATAGGGGAGTGAGCTTCAGGGGAGGGTTGATGAGTAGAAGGGGCACTCCCGCATTTGATAGGGGGTGGGGAAGGAGGGGAGGGGGGATGGGGAGGGGCACAAGGATGGAAAGGGGGGAGTGACATAGAGTCCTTTTTCTTTTTTGCCACATGGTATCTTGGGGAGTGAGCTTTAAGAGTACAGAAATTCTTCACATATCATTTCTGCCACTTGGTATCTTGGGGAGTGAGCTCCAGTAGAGGGTTGATGAGTAGGAGTGGTATTCCTGCATCTGATATGGGGGGAACAGGGGGAAGGGGAGGGGGGAATCTGCGAGAGGGTTGATGAGCAAGAGGGGCACTCCTGCATCTGACAGTGAGGAGGAAAGTGGGAGTGGGGGCACGGAGAGAAGACGAGGAAGGCGGGAAAAGAGCGGGAATGATAGGTGGGTTTGGTAGGGACGTGTATCAGAGAAGGTGCAAAAACATGGCATCTTCTTTTGTTTGTTTGTTTGGTTTTTTTGCCCCGGTAGTCACCGCTCACAACGGCTTTTGAGACGTCTCAAAAGAGAATCGGCAGAAGGACCTTTATATGCAGCACTGCCAGCCACCACAACATCAGCCCCACAGCCTCTACTCATACACTCCCCCATACGCCCGCCTCATTCGACTGCCAGCACTCACAGCTTCCAAGGGCGGGCAGACGCAGCACTCTGGCGATGGCCCGACTGAAAATGGTTTCCATCCAGAAGGACCTTGGTCGCGCTGCCTGCTGTCACAGCCCCATGTCTCTACTCATACCGCTGACCCTTAACACTCACAGGTGCCAAGGGCGGGCAGGCGCAGCACTCTGGCGATGGCCCGGCTGAAGATGGTTTCCAGAAGGACCTTGGTGGCACTGCCGCCCTTGAGGCTCAAGTGCCCTAATACACTCGCTCACACGCGCCCCCACACACACTCACAGCTTCCCAGAGCAGGCAGGCGCAGCACCCTGGCGATGGCTCGGCTGAAGATGGTCTCCAGAAGGACCTTGGTGGCAGTGCCGCCCTTGAGCCTCGTGGACCCTGTTATGGCCTCCTGCGTCGTGGCATGGTGGGAGGGTGAGATGGCGGCATGATAGTAATGGGGTAGGTAGGGTTGATTTAGAAGAAGGACCTTGGTGGCACTGCCGCCCTTGAGCCTCTTGGACCCTGCGATGGTCTCCTGTGGTTGTTTAGCACACGGGGAGGGAAGGGAAGAGAAGGGATATGAGCGGCCAGACTCCTTTCAGCCAGGAGGACCTTGGTGGCACTGCCGCCGCCCTTGAGCCTCGTGGACCCTGTGATGGCCTCCTGTGGATGTTTAGCAGCGGCAAAGGATACGAGTGGGGGAAGGTAGGGAAATCAACATGAAAGGGGGTGGGGGTGAGTTAGAAGGACCTTGGTGGCGCTGCTGTCTTTGAGCCTTGTGGGCCCTGTTATGGTCTCCTGCCAGGTGGTGGCATGGATGGTGACATGGTGGGGAAGGATAGAGGAGAAGATAACCCCTATTTTAAGACGTCATTTTTGAGACGTCTCAAAACGTGTAAAGAGGTTAATTTTGAGACGTCTCAAAAATAACCTCTTTACACGTGGGCCCTGTTATGGTCTCCTCGTTTAACCCTCTTTACACGTGGGCCCTGTTATGGTCTCCTCGTTTAACCTCTTTACACGTGGGCCCTGTTATGGTCTCCTGTGGATGTGGTGGTGGCATGGATGGTGACATGGTGGGGAAGGATAGAGGAGAAGATTACGCCTTTTTTACTACTCCCAACTCCTCTCCACTCCTCGCCACTCCACTCCCCTACCTACCCCTCCCCCTTACCTACCTACTGGGTCGACAGCAGGAGAGAGGACGAAGTGCCTTGGGACAACCCCCTCTGCTTCAGCAGCATCGATACAAACCCCCATTGCTCCAAGGACCGAGCAGAAAGATGATTCCTTTTCCACTCCTCCCTGCTCCTCCCCACTCCTCCTCACTCCTTCCCACTCCTTCCAACTCCTCCCCACCTCTCCCCAGCCCTCCCCTCGACATACCTACCGGGCCAACAGCAGGAGAGAGGATAAAGTGCCAATAATCCCTTCTGCTTCAGCAGCATCAGGGAGCCCTCATTTCTCCAAGGAAACAATGGAAAGGTCACACCCTTTCCACTCCTCCCCACTCCTCCCCACTCCTCCCCGCTCCTCCCCACTCCTCCCCACCCCTCCCCACCCCTCCCCACCCCTCCCCACCCTTCCCCACTCCTCCCCACTCCTCCCCACTCCTCCCCACTCCTGTACCCCTCCCCCCTACGTACTGGGCCGACAGCAGGCAAAAGGTGCCTTGGGACATCCCCCTCCGCTTTAAGCATCATAACTACTCCTCTCAACTCCTCCCCACCCCTTCCCACCCTAGCCGTCACTCCTACCTATCGGGCCAACAGCAGGAGAGAGGATGAAGTGCCTTGGTACGATCCCCTCTGCCTCAGCATCATCATCATTACTCCTCTCAACTCTTCCCTAACCTTCCCCCTACCCACCGGGCCGACAGCAGGAGAGAGGATGAAGTGCCTTGGGACCTCCCCCTCTGCTTCAGCAGCATCAATGCGAGCCCTCATTTCTGAAAGCACGGACGGGAAGGTCACTCCTGGAGCGCCCTGGTTGGGTAATGGGGGGGTGGAACAGAGGGAGAGAGTGGGGTAGTTGGAGGAGGGGCGGAGGGCACACACAGCAGCAGCACCCTCCTCTACTTCAGCAGCATCAATGCGAGCCCTTAGCTCTTGAAGGACAGAAAGGGGAGGTCACGCCTGGAGCACCCTGGTTGGGGAATGGAAGGGGAGTGGAAAGACAGCGGAAGGAGTGGGGAAGACAATAAGATGTGGTGTCTGTTTCAGCAGCATCGATGCGAGCCCTCAACTCTTGAAGGACAGAAAGGGAAGGTCACGCCTGGAGCACCCTGGTTGGGGATGGAGGATGGGAGGGGAGGGGTGCTGGGAGGTGCATTTTGAGGCGCCTCAAGATGGAGGATAGGAGGGGAGGGGCTGAGTGGAGAAAGACGCGTCCTGCGTCTAGGACGCTTGCGTCCAGACGCAGCGTCTTAGACGCAGGACGCTAGAGGAGGGCCTTTATGACGCATGAAAAGACGCATGCCCGGGCAGGGCAAAAAAACCCCCGGGCAGCCGAAAAATGATGTTATAGGGTATGGGAAGGGGGGGGGGAACGACGATGCACACATTTGAGGCAAAATCGTCCCCTTCAAATTTTTAGGGTTTAGGGTTTACGAAGGAGAATTGTCTTGGTAAACCCTCTAAGGTGTTTTTGATGGTCGAAATGGGTTAGGGGGGGTCGACATGACGCGAAATTGACAGTCGCATCGAAATCGTTGAAGTCAATTTCACGTTGGGGCAATTTTTTTTTCGGTCAGCCCGAAAAAAAATACGGGGTGCGTCCTGCGTCTCTGCGTCTGGACGCTGCGTCCAGACGCAGGACGCAGCAGGACGCGTGCGTGCTGGGACTGAGATGAGATTGCAGCAGAAGCAGCAGAGATTTCAGCAGCATGGATTCGAGCCCTTAGCTCATCAAGGGCAGAGGGGAAGGTCACGCCTGTATCACCCTGGTTGGGAAGTGGGGGATGCCGGGGGAGGGGTGTTGGTACTGAGATTACAGCAGCAGCAGCAGCAGCAGCAGCAGCAGCAGCAACAGCTTCAGGGGGGTTGTTGTGGTATGCAGAGGGGGGAGTGGGGTGGTTGGAGGAGGGGGGAAGGACAGACACAGCAGTAGCAACGGCTTCTGCTTCAACAACAAAGATGCAAGCCCTTAGTTCCGAAAGGACTGACGAGAAGGTCACGCCTGGAGCACCCTGGTTGGGGAATGAGGGGGTGAAAAGGGCAGGCGGGGGGGGTTGGAGGAGGAGGTGGATAACAGCGTCAGAAAAAGATTCACCGCAGCATTGATTCAACGTCTGAGGCGCCTCAAAAGTGTGTTTTGAGGCGCCTCAAAAGGGTGTTTTGAGGCGCCTCAAAACACACCTCAATGCACGAGGGGGTGAAAAGGGCGGGGGGGGGGGGGGGGGGGGGGGGTTGGAGGAGGAGGTGGATAACAGCGTCAGAAAAAGATTCAGCGCAGCATCGATGACCGCTCGCAAGTATTCAACTTCTGAGGCGCCTCAAAAGTGCTCACCCTCGTCTCTTCAAGGAAACTGGTGATGCTGCTGCTAAATTTGTTTTGAGACGTCTCAACATGCTACTTTTTATCGCGTGGAAACTGGTGATGCTGTTGCTGAATCTGCTTTCTGAAGAAACGGATGCAGCAGCAGCAGGAAGGACATGCACGAACCTACCCATCTATCATGTGTTTGGTGGTGCTTTTTGGGCCGCCTTGAGAGTCGCCTCCGTACCCGCACCCATTTGGTGTTTTTGAGCTGCCTCACAAGTCGCCCCTCTACCAGCACCTACCCGCACCTACCCACACCCACCCACAAATACCTGAACCTTCCTGCACCTTCGTAACACTGAACTCAATTGACACGCCGCCTGAAAGGCGATACGGTCTAGAAAGTCTGCTGTTCCCGCTCTTTTCCACCCACCCACTCTTCCATTTCGAACTGACAATTCGCTATGAGGCGCGGTACATTTGAATAAAACTCCAGATTCGCGATGTTTCAATTCTTGAGGAACGTTGGCAATCTGTAGGAAATTCTGGCGATGCAAATATCGCGAAACTGGAAACGATGTCACACTGCTCACAGCCAGTCAGAGATTCCACACCGTAACGTTCTTACTGTTCATTACAAGTTCTGTTCGCGAGCATCTCGAACACAGGATGAGCAGTGCCGAACATCTCGCGCGACAATGTGGTAACACGAACGATGGTCCCGAGTTTCAAGATTGGGAAGACCCCAGTTCTAGTTTCAAGGATTAGGTCGAAGCCGTCACCTCCTCCTCCAATCCCATTCACCTCTCGCTACGTTCATTTCATTCTTTCTTCCTTTGGGGACAAAGCCAGAGCTTTGGTAGGGTAAACCGTCAGAGTCAGGAAGCCTTCGTAGCTTGTTAGACCTTCCTAAACTCGCGTTCTTTCCTGCGTTCTTTCCACGGACAGAAACTAGTGCGTACTCACTAGAACCACAGAAGCTCGTTCTTCATGTCAGCCGTTTATAGCTCAGAAGCCATGCCTCCCTCATACATCAACACCCTCTCAGATGACCTCCTCGCTAAGATCTTCTGGTATCAAAAGCACGTCCCTGCTCGCCGTCAATCCGAAAACAGGAGTGATTCAATGGATTCCATCTTGCCACGACCTAGGTACACCTCCGAAAACCCGTACGGCGACGATCCCAACACATCAGAAGGCTCTTTCGGACCGTCCTCACGGACTTGTAGTACTACTACCACTACTATTACGACTAGTCCGTTGTCAGCTCCTAGTATCCTTACAGATCCAGCGCATAATCTCCTCATAGCGTCCATCTGCAAGCGCTGGCGTCGCGTGGCTCGCCATGAGGTCTCAATGCTCGTTGTGAAGAAAAACATAGCCGTATTGCTTCACGATCTCACCGCAGCCATCAACTGCTTTCCAAACCTCTCCCATCTGCATCTCAGCGACATCAGCGTAGAAACCATCAACGACGCGTTTTTCGATTTCCTCGCTTCCTCATGCCCTAATCTAGTGTCGCTACACGTGGGGAGGGAGATCACGTCGAGATGGGACTATTTTCGGCCGGAAGAGCATCCCGTGACCGAAACCGGTTTGGACCGATTTATCCGCCGCTGCACTCAGCTGCAGCACCTCTCTCTCTACTCCTTGCATTATTACGGCGCGCTGCCGGATTCTCTCTCGCTGCTCACCAACCTTCACACCCTCGCTCTCACCGAAGGCTCGCTTCTCGAAGCTCCTGGATTCACAAACCTGCTCTCACCGCCCTATCCATCGGTATTCCGGATGTGGAAGATGTGAATCTCGCGAGCCTCGCGCATCTCCCAGCCGTATCCACCCTCGTTTTATTCGACAACACATGCCCTACTATAGAAATCGGAGAAGCATCTAACCCCTTTTCATTCACCCAGATGCCTTCGCTGAAAGCCCTGGGGTTCGAGACGTGGTCTCCGCGGTTCGAGCTGTTGTTTCCATCATGAAATTCGTTTACTCGTCTAGAGCGGTTGCTTATCAGAGGCTGCGACAGCCTCGAGCGGCTTCCTGACGACATTGGCGAACGACTGCCAGGCCTTCGCGAACTGAGCTTGTGCGGATGCGAAAAACTTCTCGAGCTGCCCGAAAACTTTGGAAATCTGCCCTCCCTGAAAACGTTGACGCTGAACCTCTTGCCTCTGTCGAGCCTTCCAGATTCGTTCACCCAATTGACATCCCTGGAATCCCTCTGCCTGTCTCACTGCGACGAAATCCCGGAGCTGCCTGCAAGGTTCGGTTGTCTCACCGCACTCAACTCCTTGAGTATCCTCGACTCAGACCTGAGGCTCCCAGACGACATAGGCTCGCTCACCAACCTCCACACCTTCCGGTTATCAGGAAGTTTCTCGCTGCTGCTGCTTCCATCACGCAGCTGTCTTCCCTCACAAGTCTCCATATCACCCAGTGCAGGATACTAAAAGAACTTTCGGAGGACGTGGGGAAGCTGAGTAACCTGCGGGCACTGACCATCCAATCCTGTCCCACAGAAGATTTCAGGGTCTCTCACTGACCTTATCAGCCTAGAGGTTCTCAAAGTTGTGGACTGCGATAGCCTCACTGCAATCCCCAGCAGCTTGAGCAACCTTAGCAGGCTGAAAAAATTGGCACTAGCCAAGCTCCCCCGGCTAGAAGAAGTATCGGGATCCCTGCCCTGCTCCCTCGAGCTTCTCTCTTTAGGGAGTTTCGAGCGACTCACCTCTCTGCTGGAAACCCCTGCACTTCCAAAGCTGAGGGAGTTGAGCTCGACCAGTGAAGTGCTTAAGGGTGGGCTGGCCGCTGGCTTGACTCTGCCCTCTCTAGAGCACTTAGAGCTGGAGTTCGTCTCATATACAAAGCAGTTTCCGTTGCCTCTTGAATCCCTTTCTAAGCTCCGCCGTTTGACAGTCCAAAATACTGGTTGGATGTGGAAGCTCCCGGAGGATGGATGCGAGGAGTTGGCTGCTCTGCCGGAGGATTTTACCCAGCTCAAGATGCTACACAGCTTATCTGTTAAAGGGTGTGGCAAGATTGTACCAAAAGGTGTGAGAGACATGTATGGGTTGTAGGTTCATACTGATTGTGATTGAGATCCTCTTTTAGGTTTCTCTTTTTGAGATATCAAATAGTATGATGCACTTTCTGATCTGCGCATCCAATGTCTACATTTTCTATTCCTGCTTTATTGTATGAAGAAGTATTTCCTAGTATTCTGAGGAGCTATACTAGCCTCCGGTAAGCCCAGCATTGTATGAAGTTGACATTTTCAGGTTTTAAATTATGGGAAACAGGTCTGAAGGAGAACCTGCTTGGCATGGAAAAAGAAAAAAAAAGAACGAGAAAAGCGGTGTCGGTGCTGGGATTCGAGCCCAGGTCTCCACGGCCACAACGTGGGATTCTAACCACTAAACTACACCGACCTATTAACCTTATATATCTAAGCTATTGATTTTTAATGGTTTAAACTGGCGCCAAAACTCTCCGGACTTTTCCTGTCAAGAATTTCAGGGGTTGGTGCTTCCTGCACCTGTTCCAAATTCAAACACCTACCGTTTTAAACCGTCTTATAAATTACTCGTTTCGTGTACAACCTCTGTGTACCGTGAATCTGACCTCCCATACCATCCTTCCCACCATATGTGAATCTGACAGAATTTGTCACCATCTGATCACAACAGAACGTCAGTCTCCTGCTGGATCAACTCGGCAACGAGAGGAGAGGAATGCAGCACTTAGGGCGCGTGTCTTTTGAAATTTAGGCCAAAGTTCATGTTTTTTAGTCGAATTTTTGCAATTGAACACAGGTCGACCTGTAGTCGACTATCTCGTCATTTCATTGTCGAGTCGCGTGTTCACCTTGACGTGGAGCACATGGCACAAGAAATGCTCGACTTTCAAAGGTCGAATTTGTACAGTAAAATCCGAGTCGCACCAAGTTTCGTAGGTTACCCTGTCTATACAGTGAGTTCGTTAGCACTTTCAACTCTGGTAATCTGGCGCGACGTGGTTCGTAACCATCGCGAATCTCGCAGCTTCTTCGAAGAACACACGATTGGAGAAACGTGCTCGGGGATAGTCGAATGCGAGGTCGACCCTAGTTCAGTGTCCTTCTGTTTCAGCAACTTTGAGCTTGGACACACGTTCGTCGTCAATAGCTCTGTACGAAATTGACGAAGCTGGTTACCAGCAAAAGTTCGACCTTTTTTTCGAACTTCTACACCAAAAGACACGCGCCCTTATTCCTCAGTATTCGCTAAGTGAAGTCTTCGTTAGGTTCTTGTTGCATTACGACGACGAGCTCTCGCGGATCCAGTCGGCCTTGAGTCCCGGCAGACAAAGGAATTAAATATCATCGCGACGCGCCACCATGTCTGCGTGTACTGCCCAAATCTCCTCCGTCTCCCCCGCCCGCTCCGCTTACTGGTCCAGTAACCGTAGCGCAGCCAGTAACCACGCCCGCGAATTTTCGCGAACCGTCGCGGGCGGCCTGTCCAGTAGGGCCGCGGTAAGTCAGTTAGAATTCGAGCAGTTAATTGGTTGACTTTTCTTCTAAGCGCATTAACAACCGTCGCTCGTAGTTACTGGAATTCACCTCGTCAATCAGCAGTTAAGCAGTTCTCTCGCGCTCAGCAACGCGCCAAGTGTTTACCCCCCATCAGCGAGCCAACTTGACTCCCCTAAACCTCCCATGCCGTTTCCCCATCGGCGTTTTGAAATCCAAAGAAACCGACTCGATCGTTCTTCCCCCGTTTCCTGCTCCACTCGCTCCTCTCTTTTGCGAAGGACGTTCGGAGGACTGGCTCGAGGAATGGCAGAGCCAGGGCGGCGAGGCTGGTTCGGTGTGTGTCCGAGCCTAAAGTGGAGGCTCGGTCTGCCGAGGAGGTGCTTGCATCTCAGCCGTCGTTTCTTCGCCACATCGCAGATCATGTGAGTGCAGATTTCAGAGTTGAATTGTTGCAACCATCATCCGTCCCACTCCCACTTCCCCTCCCACTCCCATTCCCACTCCCACTTCCCACTCTTACTCCCCACTCCCAATCCCACTCCCACCCCCACTCCCACTCCCACTCCCACTCCCACTCCCACTCCCACTCCCACTCCCACTCCCACTCCCACTCCTGCTGCTTCCCTTCCCGCGTCTGCATTCATGTCTGTTGCGACTTGTGAGGCGCCTAAACACTGTTGCTGCGTGCACCTTTTCGATCATGCATGCCCACTTGCCCACTTTCCCCCTTCCACCCCGCTCTTCTCCCTCTTCTCCCTCTTCTCCCTCCTCTTCCACTCTCCTCTCCCCTCCGCTCCCCTCCACGGTGGGAGGCTCCCTCCACCCCTCACCCCTTCCGCCCTCATCTCCCCCCTCAGGGCACACCCCCCTGCCCTTAACTCGTCGCACCACATCATTTGAGTCGACTCAAAACTCGTCGCACCACATTATTTGAGTCGACTCAAAAGCAGGCTCCCTCCACCCCTCACCCCTTCCGCCCTCCCCTCCCCCCTCAGGGTACACCCCCCTGCCCTTCACTCGTCACAAGGTGACTTTTGAGTCGACTCAAAAGCCACCCCTCACCCCTTCCGCCCTCATCTCCCCCCTCAGGGCACACCCCTCTGCCCTTCACTCGTCGCATCACATCATCGAATCGCCACGCCGATGAACGGAATGCAGCCAGTCAGGCCTGTTAACGAGGTGACTTTTGAGTCGACTCAAAAGTCACCCCTTCACTCGTCGCATCACATCATCGACTCGACACGCCGATGAACGGAATGCATGCAGCCAGGCCTGCCAACCCCGCACGCGCTTCCCTCCCGCCATTCGTCACGTGTTTGAAGCAGTGTTTTCGGAGACGTCTCAAAACACTACTTCAAACTCTCGTCGCATCACATCATCGACTCGTCACGCCAATGAACGGAATGCATGCAGCCAGGCTTGCCAACCCCGCACGCGCTTCCCTCCCTCCATATTTCCCCTTCCTTGCCTGCCTCCTCTCCCTCTCCTCCCCCAGGGCACCAAGGTTCATGTTGGGAGTAGCAGCAAATTTCTGAGAAAACGCTTAGCAAACTACGGCCGTTTCTGATTCTTCAGGTGTACATCAGCTGGGGCCGCTGCAGATATTTTCGAACGCAGACAGGTGGGCTGCGGAGGCCTTACGTCCATCAACTTGCAGCCCACCTGTCCTCTCTTGACAGCAACTACGGCCGTTTCTGATTCTTCAGGTGTACATCAGCTGGGGCCGCTGCAGATATTTCCCTTCCTTGCCTGCCTCCTCTCCCTCCCCTCCCCCAGGGCACCTCCCTAATATTCACTCGCCGTGTCGTTGACACAGAGCAGATCAGCATCGGGCTGTACTGCAACCAGGCGTGCTCATCCCCCTCCTGTCTCCTTGCTTTTCCCTCCGCTCACTTTCTTCTCCCCTCTGGCCACCCCCCTCCCCTTCTCCCGGCGTGTCATTGAATATGTGCAGGTCAATATAGGCCTGTACTGCAACCAGGCGTGCTAAAACCCTCACAAGTCCCTCCCCCGCCTCGCATCCCATCAGGGTGCATATTCAGTGAAATCACTTTCGATATAGCACGCCTCGCATCCCATCCCATATAGCACGCCTCGCATCCCATCCCATATAGCACGCCTCGCATCCCATCCCATATAGCACGCCTCGCATCCCATCAGGGTGCATATTCAATGAAATCACTTTTGAGAATTCTATCAGCACGCCTCCCATCCCATCCCATATAGCACGCCTCCCATCCCATCCCATATAGCACGCCTCCCATCCCATCCCATATAGCACGCCTCCCATCCCATCCCATATAGCACGCCTCCCATCCCATCAGGGTGCATAGTCAATGACACGCCTGCTTGCAACAAGTCTCCCCTTTCTTCCCTCCTCTATGTCCCTCCCCCGCCTCCCATCCCATCAGGGCACCCCTTTCTGAGGCGCCTCAAAAAATATAGGCCTGTACTGCAACCAGGCGTGCTAAAAACCTTTAGGCGTGTTATTGACAAGTCTCCCCTTACTTCCATCCTCTATGTCCCTCCCCCGCCTCCCATCCCATCAGGGCACCCCTCTGCCATTCACTCGCCGTGTCATTGAGACTGTTCAGGCCAACATCGGGCTCTACTGCAACCAGGCGTGCCATCCAACCCGCCTCCTCTCTCTTTCCCTTTCTTCCCCCTCCCTTCCACTCCCCGTCCCTCCCCTCGTCCTCCCTCCCCTGCAGGGCGCTCCCCTGCCCTTCACCCGTCGAGTCATTGAGACTGTTCAGGCCAACATCGGGCTCTACTGCAACCAGGCGTGTCAACACTGCCACGTGGACTCCTCACCGCTCAGAACCGAGATGATGGACCACAGAACAGCAGAGAGAGTGGTGAGTGATCTTTCTCTATCCCCAGACCCTGCAAGCCCCAGACCCTGCAAGCCCCAGACCCTGCAAGCCCCAGACCCTGCAAGCCCCAGACCCTGCAAGCCCCAAACCCTGCAAGCCCCAAACCCCCAGCTGAAAGCTTGATTAGGTCAACATAGGCCTGTACTGTACTGCAACCAACCAGGCGAGCCGGCACTGCCACGTGGACTCCTCCCCTCTGCGGACTGAGATGATGGATCACAGAACGGCAGAGAGAGTGGTGAGTGCTGGAACACCGTATAGGCCAGTGCTTGCTTACTGTCTCTCCTCTTTCAACAAGCCAGCAGCAGTGGCACGTGCACTCCTCCCCTCTGAGAACCGAGATGATGGATCACAGAACAGAGAGGGTGGTGAGTGACCTCCCTATCCCAACCAGCATTGAAGCCCTACCAGCTAGCCTGTACTGTTCTGCAACCAACCAGGCGTGCCAGCACTGCCACGTGGACTCCTCCCCGCTCAGAACCGAGATGATGGATCATAGAACGGCAGAGAGGGTGGTGAGTGATCTCCCTGTTCCGTCAACAAGCCAAGCCAGCACTGCTATGGGCTCTGTCTGCTCTCCTCCCCTCTCAGAACCGAGATGATGGATCATAGAACAGCAGAGAGAGTGGTGAGAGCACCCATCCCAGCCAGCAGTGAAACCCGAAGCCTTACCCCCAAGCCCCAAACCCTAAGCCCCAAGCTTGAAGCCTGTACTGCAACCAGGCATGCCAGCACTGCCACGTTGACTCCTCCTCTCTGTGAACCGAGATGATGGATCATAGAACGGCAGAGAGAGTGGTGAGAGCATTCACAATGCGGCTAGCCCTACCTATACACGCTAAGCTGCGACCCACCCACTGCCCGATTTTCCCTGAAGCCCAAGCTTCAAGCTTCAAACCCCAATTCTTAAGTTTGAAGCCTCAACCCTAGCACGCCTTCCTTCCCCTCTCCACTCCTCGCCCCCTTCCGCCCCCCCCTTCCCTCCCCCACTTTTCAATCCAATCCCCTGCAGGTGCAGCTGGTGTCAGGTTGCCCAAGTGTGCCCTTTATGGAAACATCCTGCAGGCAGGTCTTTCAGGAAACGTGTCCCACGCCCCCTCTCTCCCCATTTTTTTTCCCCTTCCGCTCCCCCTTCCCTCCCCCATTTTTCAATCCAATCCCCTTGCAGGTGCAGCTGGTGTCATCCTGTCCAAGTGTGCGCTGTGTTGACCTCACAGGGGGGGCACCTGAGCTTAACCCTGAGTTCAGGTGAGAACAACAGAGGGGCTTAGCCTCAGGTGGTTTCATTAATGCGGGGAGGAACCTGAGCAATCAACTAGTCAGGTTTGATCGTTGCTTGCGGGTGGAAGCCTAGGTTACAATGCGAGTGACTTCTCAGGTATCTGTTCAGGTGGCCAAAGTTTTTCATGATGAAGCGGTTAGAGTGCGCAAGTATCTGCGCGAAGATTGACTGCAAGGAATCTGAATGGGCAAGGAGGTGATTCAATGATTGACTGAAATGCAATCATTGCAAACGCACTGAAATACATGCCACTGCCGCCATCCCATACCTCTCCACTGCATCTCACCGCACTGCACCTCCAGGTACCTGGTCACAGAGGCACGCAGAATGGGCAAGGAGGTGATCGACCGCTGCAACCTCACTGTGCTGTTTGAGCCGGGGCAAGAGGTGAGGAGAGGGGAGGGTAGGGGAGGGTAGGGGATGAGGTTGGGAGTAAGGAGCTGAGAGTGGGGAGACGTGAATGCGGGCAAGGAGGTGATCGACCGCTGCAACCTCACTGTTCTGTTCGAGCCGGGGCAGGAGGTGAGGAGGGGTGAGGAGGGGTGAGGAGGGGTGAGGAGAGATGAGAGTAGTTGACGTGGATGGAGTGTGTGTACCAGTGCAGTAAGGGTGAGGAGATAAGGTGATTGATTCCCTGCTTCCCTTTGTGTGTGTCTCCCATGCGTATATATGCATGTGAGCAGGGTTTGGCAGAGTTCCTGGCGGCCAATCAGGTCCATGTGACTGCTGAGCCATCTCATTTCTTCCGTTTCCCTTCCATCCATGGATACATGCGTGTCTGAGCAGGATTTGGCAGAGTTCCTGGCAGGCGATCACGTGCATGTGGTGGCATTGCTCCCACGTCTCACGCCCACTGCCTGTCTGCCTCCCTGTGTGCATGCATGTGTTTGTGTGTGTGCGTGCGTGCGTGCGTGCGTGCGTGCGTGCGTGCGTGCGTGCGTGCGTGCGTGCGTGCGTGCGTGCGTGCGTGCGTGCGTGTGTGTTTCCCGTGTGTGGATCTGTCTGAGTAGGATTTGGCAGAATTCCTGGCAGCCAATCAGGTGCATGTGGTGGCGTCTCTCCCGTGCTACTCTGCTGATAACGTCAACAAGCAGGTATGCGCTTCATGCATAGAGCTGGTTGCTGTCAGGGTTGGGGGGGGATGGCTGTCAGTCAGGGTGGTAACCCTTCATCAGCTGATTATGTCAACAAGCAGGTATGCCCTTCATGCACTGGGTGGAAGACAGCGTGGGCGGGTTTGGTGAGTGGAGGGCCTTTATCAGTTGGTGTGGGTGGGGGGTTGTTGTTAGGGGGGAGTATTTGACCTCTGCATCAAGCATCAACAGCGCCTCACCCAACGGCGCTTCACCCAACGGCGCAGCGGCGCTTCACCCATGCATATTCTCTCCTTCCTCCCGCACCTGTATCCCCCCGCTTGCTCATATCCTCCTCTCTCAACGCGTGCTGGTGGGAAACAGAGGGGAGGGGGAGTGTTTGACCTCAGCATCAAGGCGCTTCACCCCCCTTCATGCGTATCGAACATTCCCTCCTTCCTCCCGCACCTGTACCCCTTCTCCCTTTGCTCATATCCCCCTCTGTCAATGCGTGTATGTGTGCATCAGAGGGGAGGGGGAGTGTTCGACCTCAGCATCAGGGCGCTTCAGCTTCTCAACGGCCTGGGGTAGGTGCAATGGAATGCAGTGCGGTGTAGTGCGCTGCAGTGGGTTGCAGAAGTGCAGTCTTCGTGTTTGCTGGTTGCTAGCTCAGCATCAGAGCGCTTCAGCCTCTCAGGTGCAGTGGAATGCAGTGCGGTGTGCTGGTGTGTGATGCAGTGGGGTGGGGTGCAATGCGTTTAATTCGTTTGTCGACTAAAAAAAGTGCTCGGTGCAGTGGGATGCAATGTGATTGAGTGCGAGTTTTGTGGAATGGAGTACGGTGCAGTGCAGTGTAGGGCTGGCTAGCTGAAAGCCTTTTGAACTGATTCTCTGACAAGTCACTTGCTCAAAAGTTAGAGATGAGTGCGGTGAGATGCGTGTGTGCGGCCGCTCACGAGCTCAGGGCCGAGTGCGGTGGAATGCGATGGGATGCGATGCTGTTGGGGGGGAACCGAGTGCAAATGGGATGTACAGTGGCATCTGCAAAGGGTCTTTCAAGTATAGGATTGATACTGTCTAATCCTATAAGTTCTTCTTAATCCTGTCTAATTTTTTTAGTTGACTCAAACAACCAATTCGACTTGATTTTGTCTAGATTCTATTATTTTGGAAGGAGACTGTTTTTTCCTTCCGTTGACCCTTGATCCTTCCCGTAGCATCCTCCCTTGCCGAACCTGCATTTCAGGTACGGCAAGGAAGGCTCGGGTTTGGTGCTAGACCTGGTGTACAACCCGGTTGGCCCGTTCCTCCCCCCTGCTCAAGCCAAGCTGGAGGAAGCATACAAGGTGAGACGAGACGAGAAGGGGTGTGGTAAGGTGCGGTGGGGTGGGGTGGGGTGGGATGGGATGGGATGGGCTGGGATGGGATGGGATGGGATAGGATGGGATGGGATGGGATGGGATGGGATGGGATGGGATGGGATGGGATGGGATGGGATGGGATGGGATGGGATGGGATGGGTTGGGATGGGATGGGACGGGATGGGGTGGGGTGGGGTAGGGTGGGATGAGATGAGATGGGATTTGATGTGCTGCTGCTGGGAACCCTTACCCTTCCAAGCCCCTCCATACCTCCCCATACCCTTCTCTGAGCGAGTTGATGCCATGCTATAGCATATCGTTCAACCAGCAGTCTCCTTTCCCCCTTTCCTAACACCTCCACTGTCCCATACCTCTCCATAACCCTCCCCACCCCTCAATACCACTCCATCCATACCTCTCAGAGCGAGCTGATGTCATGCTATGGCATATCGTTCAACAGCCTTTTCACCATCACCAACATGCCTGTCAAGAGGTGCGTGGTAGGTCGAGTTGGTAATGAGTGGTGAGCAGTGGTGAACAGGGATGAACAGGGGTGAACAGGGGTGAACAGGGGTGGACAGGGTTGAATAGGGGTGAACAGGGGTGAACAGAGCTGGAGCGGAGGGTGGTATTCAGTGCATATCGCTGAACAGCCTCTTCACCATCACCAACATGCCTGTCAAGAGGTGAGTGGTCGGTAGGCAGTGAAGTGAGCGGTGAACAGGGGTGAACAGGGATGAACAGAGCTGGAGGGGAGGTGATAATCAGTGCATATCGTTCAACAGCCTGTTCACTAACATGCCTGTCAAGAGGTGAGTGGTAAAGAGGGGTGAGCAGGTGTGAATGGGGGTGAACTGAGGTGAAGAGAGGTAAAGAGAGGTTTGATGGGTGGTGAACAGAGAGTATCGTTCAACAGCCTTTTAACCATCACCAACATGCCTGTCAAGAGGTGAGTGGTGAGTGGATGTTGGGTGGTGCGTGGTGAGCAGGGGTGAACAGGGGTACATAGAGGTGTGGTGTGGGTGGTGAGCAGGGGTGAACAGGGGTACATAGAGGTGTGGTGTGGGTGGTGAGCAGGGGTGAACAGGGGTACATAGAGGTGTGGTGTGGGTGGTGAGCAGGGGTGAACAGGGGTACATAGAGGTGTGGTGTGGGTGGTGAGCAGGGGTGAACAGGGGTACATAGAGGTGTGGTGTGGGTGGTGAGCAGGGGTGAACAGGGGTACATAGAGGTGTGGTGTGGGTGGTGAGCAGGGTTGAACGGAGGTACAGAGAGGTGTGGTGGGGGGTGGTGAGCATAGCATATCATTCAACAGCCTGTTCGCCGTCACCAACATGCCTGTCAAGAGGTGATTATCGGACAGAGATGAAGAGAGGTGTTTGGTGGTGAGTGGTTGACAGAGGTGAGCAGGGTTGAGCAGAGGTGCCTGTCAAGAGGTGAGGGTTGGGCAGGCGCAGCTGCTGCTTCACCAACATGCCTTCACCAGCCAGGCACAGCTGCTGCTTCACCAACATGCCTTCACCAGCCAGGCACAGCTGCTGCTTTCATCATTCCATGCATTCACCAGCCAGGCACAGCTGCTGCTTTCATCATTCCATGCATTCACCAGCCAGGCACAGCTGCTGCTTTCATCATTCCATGCATTCACCAGCCAGGCACAGCTTCTGCTTTCATCATTCCATGCATTCACCAGCCAGGCACAGCTGCTGCTTTCATCATTCCATGCATTCACCAGCCAGGCACAGCTGCTGCTTTCATCATTCCATGCATTCACCAGCCAGGCACAGCTGCTGCTTTCATCATTCCATGCATTCACCAGCCAGGCACAGCTGCTGCTTTCATCATTCCATGCATTCACCAGCCAGGCACAGCTGCTGCTTTCATCATTCCATGCATTCACCAGCCAGGCACAGCTGCTGCTTTCATCATTCCATGCATTCACCAGCCAGGCACAGCTGCTGCTTTCATCATTCCATGCATTCACCAGCCAGGCACAGCTGCTGCTTTCATCATTCCATGCATTTCTTTGTTCATGTCTCTCCGTCCCTCCATTCTTGTATGTACGTCCTGCCACGGATTAGCAGTTTTGAGACGTCTCGAAACTAAATTGTGCATGTCTCTCTGTCCCTCCATTTGTGTCCGTACATCCTACCGCGTGTGATGAGTCGATTTTTGAGTCGACTCAAAAATCGACGCATGTCTTTCTGTCCCTCCATTTGTGTCTGTACATCCTACCACAGATTCGCTTCGTTTCTGCATAGACAGGGCCAACTCGAGGACTACATGCAGCTGCTGGTAAGCCTTGTATAGGAGTTGCTTATATGGAGTACAATTGTGTTCGCATTGCTTCTGCATAGGCAGGGTCGATTCGAGGACTACATGCTGCTGCTGGTAAGTCTTGTAGTGGAGCTGCTTGTATGGTGTACACGTTATGGCTATATGCTGGTGCCGTCAGGACAGTGAGATGACACGTCACCTATGCAGGCCACCGCCCTCAACCCACCGGCAGTAGGCAACGTGATGTGATGTGCCGGAACTTCATCCGCTAATGTAGTGGCAAACGTTGACCCAACCCAACCATTCCTCTCCCATTCTTCCTCCCTGCCTCCCCCCTCACCCACGCAGACCGCTTCCTTCAACCCACCAGCAGTGGGTAATTTGATGTGTCGAAACCTCACTGGTGATTCAACATCACATGTCGCCCCCCCACCCCTTTCCACCCCATTCCACCCCACCCACGCAGATCTCTGCCTTCAACCCAGCAGCAGTGGGCAATGTGATGTGCAGAAACCTGATCAACATTGACTGGTGCGTGGGAGAGGAGAGGTGGAGGGGGGAAGAGGGAGGAGAGAAGGGGGGTTGATGCACGCATGCATGTGACTAGTATGTGCATTCAACCCGGCAGCAGTGGGCAACGTGATGCGCCGAAACCTGATCAACATTGACTGGTGCGTGGGAGAGGGGCAGAAGGGGGGTTACTGTGTCCATGTGACTGGTGTGTGCGTTCAACCCTGCAGCAATGAGCAACATGATGTGCACAAACCTGATCAACATTGACTGGTGCGTCTGTGGGAGAGAAGGGACAACAAGGGGTGATGGGAGGAGAGGGGGAGGGGGTAGAAAAGGAGGCGGGGGGGGGGGATGGTGGTTGGGAGGGTTTTGCAGGCAGGGCGCCCTCTCCTCTTGTGAGGCGCCTGAACAACAACTTTTGAGGCTCCTCAAAAGATGCAGGCAAGGCGCCCTCTCCTCTTGTTTTCCATTCTCCCCTCCCACACTGCGGGCAAGGCACTCTGTGATTTCAACCAGCAGCTCGCCCTCCGCGTTCCCTGCAAACCATCCAATGCAACCAGCGCTGCCTTCCCTGCTCTCCCTTCCCTGCTCTCCTTTTTTCTCTGTTTCCCTTCTCTCGCCTCTGCTCACCCAACCCACCACAGGCAAGGCGCTCTCTTCGACTGTGGCTTCAACCAGCAGCTCGCCCTCAGCCTTCCCCCCAAACCACCCACTGCAACCGACTCTCTTCTCTCTTCTCTCCTTCCTCTCCTCCCATTCGGAATTCCCTCTTACAGGCAAGGCGCTCTCTTCGGCTGTGATTTCAGCCAGCAGATCGCCCTCGCCCTTCCCTTCGAACCACCCACTGCAACCAGCCGTCCCCTCTCTGCTCTCCAATCTTATTCTGTGTCCCCTTCTCGCCTCTGCTCACCCAACCCACCACAGGTAATGCGCTCTCTTCGACTGTGACTTCAACCAGCAGCTCGCCCTCAGCCTTCCTCCTTTTTCTCCCCTTCTCTTTCCTCATTTCCCAGGCTCCTCTCTGCTCCCTCACACCGCAGGCAGGGCGGCCTCTTCGGCTGTGGCTTTAACCAATAGCTCGCCCTCGCCCTCGGCCTTCCTCCCAAATCATCTAGTGCAACCAACTCTCCCCTCGCCTCGCCTCTTGTTTCCCCTTCTCTCCTCCACCACCCACTCGCTGCAGGCAAGGCGCACTCTTCGACTGTGACTTCAACCAGCAGCTCGCCCTCGGCCTTCCCCCTAAGCCATCCGCTGCAACGAACTCTCCCCTCGCCTCTCCTCCACCTCCTCCGCCTCGCACCGTTTTCGACGTCCAATCACTGGATGAGCTTGTTGATCGCCCCATAGCCACAGCAGCGCACTGCTACGGGTGAGTGGGTTGTGTTCCTCTCTCCTCTCCTCAATCTCCCACCCCCCCGATCCAATCACTGGATGAGCTTGTGGATCGCCCCATAGCCACAGCAGCGCACTGTTACGGGTGAGTGGTTCTTGTGCTGTCTCTTGTAACTGTGAGCGTGTGACCATGTTAGTGTGTGCTGCATGCTCCCCCTCCCCCTCCCCGCTCTGTCTTCGACATCCAATCGCTGGACGAGCTTGTGGATCGCCCCATAGCCACGGCAGCACACTGTCACGGGTGCGTATGTGTCCAATCAACATTCCTCTGCCCAGGTCATCTCCTCTCCTCCACTTCCTCCTCCCCTCTAACCTCGCTCTGTGTTTGACATCCAATCAATGGATGAGCTTGTGGATCGCCCCATAGCCACAGCGGCACATTGCTGCGGGTGAGTGGGTGATGTCTTGCCTCTTGTAACTGTGAGCTTGTGAGTGTTTGCAGCGTGCTTCTCTTCTCCCCTCTTGCCTCTGCTCCTCCTCCCCCGCCTCGCTCTGTCTTTGACATCCAATCACTGGAGGAGCTTGTGGATCGCCCCATAGCCACAGCAGCACATTGTTAAGGGTGAGTTACTGAGTATTGATTTTACCGTTTTTTTTTTTTTTTTTTTTTTTTTTTTTGTGCTGCGTATCTGTAGTGAGCAGATATAGCGTGTGTTGTGAATCAAAGGAACTTGTTGACCAACCGACTCATAACCACTGAAACACAATACTTCTACAAGCAAGCTGCTGGTTTTCTGTATCTTTGGAGTCTACTGTAAAGGCCACTCTTAATCGACTCCATGAATCATTGACTGCTTCTTTTTGCTTTATTCCTTCATGCCTCTTTGCAGATGTACAGCTGGCAGCGGTTCCAGCTGTACTGGCGCAGTTGTATAGCAGCAGATGGGATAGTGTATCCTACAATGGTTGAACTTCAGTATGTTTCTATCTAGTCGTGTCGTGTCTCTAGATTTTCTCTCTGAGAATTCTCAGAATGGGGCACTTGGTCTCCTGTTAGGAAAGCATCATCCTAGTGCTTCTTACTCTCAATGGGTGGAAGCAAATAGTTGTGATTAGCGAATCCGTTTGTAAGAGTGTTCACTGCATCATGTTTTTCTCCCTGTCACCATCTGCTGTGATATCGCTACGAAAACAACTTTTATTCGCAAACTTAGTGACTTCTTCGCCAGCCATTCCCGCCGTAACAGAGCAGCATTGAGGGGCAGTCTGCTGGACCGCATAGCCCTGAACTTCTGAACAACTTGGGAAGAAACGCGCGAAAAGTGTTTGCGAAAAGTAAGGGCATAGCATGACTCGGAAGAAACTCGCGAAATGATTGCGTGGCGTCGCACGACGAACTTTGTGACTCGGCGCGACTCAAATTGCGTGCATTGCTGTCCTGACAACTCACCCACATTCCTCGCACAGCTTTGGCTGACGACTGGATCTTACCTCCCCCCGCGCCCTTCCCACACATCGCCTTCCATATTTACTTCGCTCCACTTTTGTTGTGTCTCATCAATCCCAGCTTGTTTACTCTCACAGCTATCCAGGTAGCCTTTTCCGTAAAGCACGAATTCGTCAGCTATATTTACCAATTTCTGCAACTCTTCGCCTTTAGTTTCGAAATCTCAACGTCTGTTGTTTTAGCGAGTAAGCAGAACTTCTGCTACGTTCCTTTTTATGCTTAGTCGCATTCGATAGGTACTACTAGTAGTACCGACGACTCGTCGGACGCATCACCCAGCGCCGATGGCGGACGGAAAAACTCCTAAAGCGCTTCTACGAACACTCCTCGCGACTCTCCTTCTCTCCTGCCTTCTGCTCCCACTCGCTCCGGTGCGCGCGTTCGACTTGGACTGCGCAAACGAGGCCAGCGAGTCCGTTGCCGTGCTGAGCTTCTGTAACGGCAACGGGTGGCATCGCACGTGTCTCTACGGCGGCGGTTATGCCACGGACGGTTCCGGAGAGTGCACGCTCGTTCAATCCGGTGCGCTTTACTGCGAGGACTGCCAAGGGAATGTGCACAAACTCGAGCGTTGCTGCGATATCGTAGACCTCCGAGTTTCCGATTCCGGTTACGAGTTAAGCGCCGGCCAACAGGCCAACACGTATGACATTGAATGGGGAATCGGTCTGCTACAGTGCCCAGGGAATACGGGCTGTGCTACATCTGGTTACCCGCAGTGTAACGGGGGTGGGTTCGACGGTATTAATTCGTGGTTCGGGTTAGATAAATATTCCTATGTGCAAGGTTATGAATTTTGCCCCGAATTCAGGGGAACGATACTGCGCGGGCTCGAGCCCCGCGGGGACAGCAGCGGCGGAGTGAAGCTGCGCGAACTAGAGCGTCCGTGGGAGGAATCCGCCGCTGAGGCGGACGAGATCCGCGCAGAACCGCCGCGCCCGATTGCTCCCCTCGGCGACGGCGCACTGGCGGGCGGAAAGACCAAGATGAGCCGCCGCCTATGGGGAAGCGGGCGCCCCTGGCCCCCCCCGAAGATGTATAGCCGTCGCCTGTGGGGAAGTGGGCGCCCCTGGTCTCCCCCAAAAATGTACAGCCGCCGCCTGTATGGAAGCAGGAGGCAGTGGTACCCGTAGTGGTACCCGTGGCCGCCCTGTCCGTGGATGGGAAGGAGGTTAGATTGATGGAGGTTGTTTAGTTCTGAGGCACATGCTTAGTTGAGCATTTCATTATTTTTTAGGTGCCTAAGAAGTCTGTTAAGGTTTTTTGAGGTGCCTAAGAAGTCTGTTGAAGTTTTTTTTTGCACCTCAGAAATCTGCTTATGGTTCTTGAGGCACCTCAGAAGTCGGTTTATGGTTTTTGAGGCACCTCAGAAGTCCGTTTTTGGTTTTTGAGGCTCCTCAGAAGTCTGTTTCGGTTTCCTGGTGATCTCAGCTCAACGGAGTGTAGGGGAGAGTGGGGGTGTGAGGGATACATGCAGTACCTGAATGCAGATTATACATGACTTTCTATTATTGTTGAAAAAAGTGGAAAGGGGTGAGCAGCGGGTAACAGGGGTTAACGGAAATGAAGAGTTGTGTGTTGGTTCGTGGGCAGGGCATATCGTTCAGCACCCTCTTGACCATCACCAAACATGCCTGTCAAGAGGTGAGTGGTGGTGGTGAGTGGTGAACAGGGGGAAACTGTGGTGAAGGGGGGTCAAGAGGGTTCTGTTGGGTTGTGAGCAGAGCATATCGTTCAGCACCCTCTTGACCATCACCAAACATGCCTGTCAAGAGGTGAGTGGCCGGTAGTGAGTGGTGCGCAAGGGTGAACAGGGCTGGGTTGGGTGGTACTCGGTGCATATTGTTTCAACAGCCTCCTCACTATCACAAAAGCTTTCACTAAAGTTCTCTTCGTTTCACTATCATCAGAGGTTTCACCAATAGCCCCTCTCTTTGTTGAGAAAACGAAAAACTAAAGCCTGTCGGGCTGTTCACCATCACCAACACGCCCGGTGAGTGATGAGCGGTGGTGAGTGGTTGACAGAGGTGAACACAGGTGAGTAGAGCATGTTTCTCAACATCCTGTTCACTATCACTAACATGCCTGTCAAAAGTGGGTTATTGTGAGAGGCATGATGGGTGGCGGGTGGTGAGTGGTGAACGGTGAGCGGTGAGCAGAGAATATCGCAGCCTGTTCACCATCACGAACATAACTGTCAAGAGGCGAGTTGTGAGTTGAAAGTGGTGAACAGAGGTGAGTAGAGGTGAGGAGAGATGAACAGGAGTGAGCAGGGGTCAGCAGAGGTGCGCACGCAGTGGTGTGCAGAGGTGTGCAGAGGTGTGCAGAGGTGTGCAGAGGTGTGCAGAGGTGTCCAGCGAGCTGAGGCGAACAGAGCCTGTTGCTCAAAAGAGGGGGTCACTGAACCTCAAACCGTCACCAACGTTCCTGACAAGTGGGGTTGAAGGAAACTGAACGGTGATTGTATGGAGAGAGCAAGGGAATACGTCGTTGGAGAGATTGGGTTGACCAGATTTGGAATTCCCTCCAACACTACTGGTTGGCCCGATGGATGGAAGTCCTATGTGTCTGTTTGGTCACCCAATAAGTTGGAGGCATGACCACCAATAATCGGAATGTCCATTAACGGTTGGGTTGGGTGGACCTTCAACAAGAAGGAATGGGGGGTCTTAGTGGAAGTGTACACTTGATATTTGGGTGGTATGCTTACATAGTTAGCCTATATCAATGCTACAATTTAACGTGGGTTTCATGTTGGGAAGGCACTGCTGCTGGTTCCGTTTCATGCCAAGGTTATGCTTGCTTGTTTCAAGCATGTTTTGCGTATGCGTCTTTCCATGCGTGTTTGTCGCTGATGCATCCGTTCACAGATTCGCATCGTTTCTGCATAGGCAGGGCCAAGTCGAGGACTACATGCAGCCGCTGGTGAACCTTGTATTGAGCTGCTTATATGGAGTACAACTGTGTTCGCATCGCTTCTGCATAGGCAGAGCCGACTCGAGGAATGCATGCAGCTGCTGGTAAGCCTTTTAAATGATATGCTTGTATGGAATACATGTATTGATTCTATGATGGCGGCATCCTGGCATGCAGTAAGCATAGCAGTCACATGCATGCATACATTCACATTCACACACGCGCGCGCGCGCATGCACGAACACATGCATGCATACATACACACATCTATCCCACTCCCTCTGTCGCCTCCTCCATTACCCTGCCTGCCTCTCCGTTCAACCACGCAGATTTCTGCGTTCAACCCAACATCAGTGAGCAATGATTATTGTTCCTCAAGTGTGCCCCTCTGCTGCCTCCCTCTCACTCCCTCTGCTGCCTCTCTCCCCTCACTCCCCTCTGTGTGGGAGAGGGGGAGAAGGGGGGTTACTGCGTCCATGTGACTGGTGATGTGCACAAACCTGATCAACATTGACTAGTGCGTGGGGGAGCAGGGGGGCGAGGGGGAGGGGAAAAAGGGGGTTTGGTAATGCATGTGTGGGGTAGCATGTGTTTCGCAAAATCGGTGGTCAACAACCCAGCAGCAATGAGCAACATGATGTGCAGAAACCTGATCAACATTGACTGGGCGTGGGAGGGAAGGGCGGCGGGGGAAAGTGTTAAAATATATGTTGTGTAGCATGCCAACACATGTGACTGTACACCAATTGTGGTGTACAGTTGGGTTGGGACTACACCCAACTTTGGGTGTAGTCTTGCACTTTGGGGTGCCAATCCACCATTGTGGTGGAGCCCCCAAATGCAACCCACTTGGCTTATGGGTGCCTCACTTCCCACAAGTGAGGTCATCTCAAGCCAAGTGGGCCTAGGGTTGCCTCACTTCTACAAGTGAGGTCAACCCAACCTATGGTCACCTTCACCTTTCTCTTCCAAGCCTCTCTTCCAACTATGTATGCTAGGTTTCTCCTCTAATGAAGTTACTTGTTCAATTTGCTACTTTCACATGGTATAGAGCTACTTGTTCCTAGGCCTTACCTCTCCCTCCCTTCAGTTTTTTTTTTCCCCATGGGCCCACCCCACAGCTACAAACCCTTTCCTACGCGTGGCTCAACTAGCCATCACTAGCATACTCTCGCCGCGACCTACGCCGTCGCCGCC